TTTTATTTATTTAGGTACAGAAACAGAAAACAAATAAAAGAAAAATACATATACGTATTAAAAACTAAATATATCCTAACGTAAAATGTAAAATTCGAGTAGGAGGAGAAAATTCGACAAAAATATTTCAATTAAAGTTCAAAACCATTTCTATACTATACATAACTTTCATACAAGTTTTCAAGTAGTAATCAGTACTTCAAATGTGATGAAATTTTATTTATTATCTCGACATTTTATTCAAACAAAAAAAAATGTATTATATCATTTATGGCAATATTTTATTATTTATAGATTATACATATATCTCTTTACTTTCCTTGTGGGAGAATGTTACTACGTGAAATGATTGCGTAAAATGATTTTAAAGTTTAATAATGTAAATTCTTTAATAATAGTACCTATTTGGACCCAAAGAAACCTACGAAAACCTAAAACTTAAAAAAAAAACTGGTTGTAAGTGTTGAGCATTACGTTTAATTTACAGTAAAAATCTTATAAAAACCTAGCCTTCATACCATCAAAAATACTTACTTACCTACGAAACTCTTGAATTTAGTTATTTTTTAAATTACTACAATTACGTTTTCATTATCTGTACATATAATAAAACAGTAACTTAGCGAAATCTATACAAGAAATATGTTTTAAAAACAATGACTGTAACGTGTTGTGTACAGAATATAGATCCCAAAACAATAGTAATTAAAAAAATTGTCTGATTGTGTGTGCGTGCGTGCGTGTCTGGTTCTATCGAGTCATCCTTAGAAAGCTAACGCAGCTGGGTGATACATCAAAACAATGTACTAGGAAATTGTTAGTCTTAAAAAGGCCTACAATATAATTCTCAATAGCATGTCTAACTCCTAAGGCAGTGGCGGGCAAACTTTTTAATGGGGGGCCACAAAGTTTAAGAAATTCTAGAGGGCCAGAATTATAGAAAAAATGCATTTCGTGTTAAAGCTTTCAATCATCATCATAATATTAAAAAACATTACAGCATTACACACTTGTGTATAATGAGCTACATTATTGATACCTTCATTTATAACCACAAAAACTTCCGTCTTATTAAATTGAAGGCGATCACCACGATCTAGTTGTTATTGAATTTGCTTCATACAGTTAAAAAGCTCCTTATATGTTAAGTAAGGATAATTGGCTGACTCTTAAAGCAGGAGGTATGGCTCCATATACTCAAATTCAAAATATTTTATTCAGGATTAAATTATTACAATTTTTTACTGAACGTCATGAGTCTACTACCAGTACGGAAAGTTCGGATAAAATAGAAAGGCATCTATCTCTAACAATAGAATTACTTTTAAGTCATATTTAGTTCGTTATCCCTATATAACTTAAACGTTGATATTCTGATGCGTTGCAAAATATCAATGAGATATAAGAGGAAATAATCTATTTGCAATCGTGACTCTAATTCCTTGAAACTTTACTTTTTGTGTTAACCTTAACCTTTATAAAATGAAATACTTATAACTCATGTATGTATAAACTTATTAATAGGTACAAACAATAAACATAATAAATAATATTTAATTTGACCCTCGGAGTGTTATGTTATGTTACTCGCCATGTGAATTTAATCTTGTTTTTTAATCGTAGTTAACTAATGTCCTTTATTGATACGCGCCAAGCCCATATAAGTTATATACGCTGTCATAACTCCACAATATAGTATAAACAAATTTTAAGTTAAATTTTAATTTGGTATAACGCTAAATTACCTACGTATTTAAAGAGACAATAGTGATGTAACATCATAGGGTATAACAAATAGTACTGACTGTAATGAACTAAGTAGGTAGTGGATCGTCTCTATCCGTGTTGATAGACAGGACAATGGACGCAGTGACAGAACTAAACATACCTACATAGTTACATCTATTGTCTACATTAGATCTATACTATAACTAGCGACTCACCATCGCTCCGCTCGGGTTCGACCCTGGGGTGGGGTCTGGGAGGACCACCCTTATCCTTACCACTTAGGGGTATGGAAAATAGATAGTAGCCGATACTCAAACCTACTGAATACGCATATAAAATTTGGTAAAAATCGGTAAAGCCGTTTCGGAGGAGTACGGTAACAAACATTGTGACATGGAAATTTTATATATAAGACTAGCGACTCACACTCGCTCCGCTCGGGTTCGTCCCTGGGGTGGGATCTGGGAGGACCACCCTTATCCTTATCACTTAGGGGTATGGAAAATAGATAGTAGCCGATTCTCAGACCTACTGAATACGCATATAAAATTTGGTAAAAATCGGTAAAGCCGTTTCGGAGGAGTACGGTAACAAACATTGTGACATGGAAATTTTATATATAAGATAAAACTGTAGAGGTCGAATGTCTGTACATAGAAAAAAATGCTAAAAACCGAGTCAGAGGGATGTAAGAAGACAAATAGAACAAACCCAGATTTTTTTATTTTTTTGTTTCTCTGTCTGTTTGTCTGTTTGTACGGGCTAGTCTCCGAATCTATTGGACCGATTTAAATGAAATTTTGCATGGTGGTACCTTATATCCCCGGGTAACATCTTAGATATTTTTCATTCCGGACAATTAAAGTGTTCCCGTGGGATAGTTAAAAAACTATAGTATTTTATACAGCTTAGTACATAACTTATGTACCTAATTTAGTAAAATTTGGCATGCTGATACCTTATATTGCCGGTCAAACAACAGGTTAATTTTCATCCCGGAAAAATTAACGGTTCCCGTGGGAACCAATAACTCTCTATTAGCGTTTTGTAGAGGCGAACCCGAGCGAAGCGAGGGTGAGCCGCTAGTTAGACATAAAAACTTCTGAGTGACGAATAGAAAGAATTGGCGAGGGTGTAATTTATAGAATGAACTTGCCAAAATATTTTCCTTTACCATTTAAGTCGACAAAAATTAAAAAAAAACAATGTGTAATTAAAGTAAACATGTGTATCGGTCTTAACGACCTTCAATTTGATATATCACAATATTTATAAATGACGAAAACATAGTGACCAAGCTTGACTAATAAGGGCATAAAAAACCATAATATTCATGGGAACCGGATGCTTACGCGATTCAATAATACAATGTAAAGACTTAAAAGTGTAAAATAATTTTAGTTTTACTAATTTAACATATAATTTTACTCACTATAACATCTTTTTTATATATAACATATATGTAGGTTATTGAGTAAGACTGTAGTAATGATCTTGTGTATTCATTTAGTAGTAATCAAAGCTGTATTGGAAGCGGACAGTGTCAGTGAATGCAGAAATGAATACGTTTAATATTAAAAGTTTTATCAATTTAATAGAGTCAGTGTTAGTTAATACATCGCACAATAATTGTTTACACTGGAATGTTTTTTGACTGGGATTTGTGTTGGGTGTTCGAGTTATTTCCTCCACGACCGCGGACACGCCGGCGTTACAGTTAATAATAGATTTCTTAGAAATTTAATTAATTTCTTAGAAAACCTGGAGGTGTTTATCGAGGTATGTAGCTTTAAGAATCAAAACACTTACCACATTGTTTATTATTCAATAATATCACATCAATAGACACTTCACTTATATTAGATTGTCCACTTTTGTCCTGTTCGGTTCACAACGTACTAGAGTATATGAATTATTCACATATTTTATAAGATCAATTTGCTCGGAGATCAGCGCACACTAAGCTCACCACCACACGTTCTAAACAACAACCACAAGACAAATACTTAAATATTCTGTGTTTAAGCCAGAAAACTAGTTGCGTCGTATTCAGTAGATATCAGTCAAAATGTGCATGTAAGAAATTTAGTATATTTTTTTAAATCATTATAACGTACAAATATTTTCGCTTACATACGTGTGCGGAACCTTGAATATTATGATTAAATCATTATAGCAACACAAATACTAAAAATTAATTAGTTATGGTAAATTAACATTTGAAGGTTCTACAAATACAATAAAAAATTACCAGACAGTCGTCTGATGACTACTTGTTAATTTAAAGTTTAAAATTAATGTAAAGAAATCACCGCGGTAATAATTTAGCTAAAAAAAGTTTTGTAATTATTTTTGGACTCACAAAACAAGAAGAACCAGAAAATATGCATAAGGAAATTTAAATTTAAACTTATTTCAATGCAAAGGTAGACTTATCCCAATCAGGAAACTCTGTCAACCTTGGAATTACCGAGAGGAACTTTAAAGGGCAGAGTGAACAATCGACACAATCTTCCTGTAGGTACTATACTCGTAAAACAAAAGATTAAATAAAATTTTAGCTTGTCTCTATTTAAATATATTAATTTATTAAGTGTAATATCATATAATATCAAATAGATAATTTATAAATCATATGTGTAATTAATATGAAATGAAATAAAACTTCCAATATTTAATTCAGATTAACTGTGAATGAAAGTAAAAATGAAAATTAAGTCTTGTTTGAATCCTTTCATTGATGGAGCATTCTAGAAAGCTATGTTTGTCTCCCAAAATACCATAGTACAAATGTGTTAATATAAAAAAAATATCAAAAGAAAAAATCCTACGTAGAGTTTGACCTTTATTTGACTGATTTAGTTCCATCAATCCAATCAAAAATGGACATTAAATGTTTTAAACTTAAGCACGTAAGCGTTAGAAATAAAACGCGATATTTAGGATATCGCACACATAATATGTACACCTTAAAAACTTGAATGTTCTCATCAATTCGACTGAACTTTATTATCTATAATTCCGGTGTACGTGTGTTGTCCTCTTCTAAAGGGCTTGGCTGATCTCGATGATATTTTTGTGTACCTGTAGGGACACCTGGATGGTTTTTAACTATAATTATATATATTAAACTCGGTAGGAGGCGATGTTGTCGAGATCCAGAACTTTTTTTAATATTTCGACCAAACGTAGTCTGTGACAAGATATCGTCGGCCCACCGGGTCTACTTGTACTCTAAATTTTATTCAGTACTTTTATTTACATTGTTTCAGGTTCAAGCATATTGGAAACGCTAAGGTACAATCGAGACACATTGAAGGGTGCTCATAGAAGGCTAATAGACCTAGCGAATACGCTCGGGCTTTCTAATGCTACCATATCACTCATCGAGCGAAGGGTCTCCCAAGACAAATATGTATTATTTGGCGGAATGTTTGTCACTTTGGCTGTGATTGTACTTGTGATCATATATTTGGTATAGAAATTATATTTTTGCAAAGAATAAATCTTGTATTTCAATTGTTATTCGATGTATTAATGGTGTCATATCGATTCCAGGAATATAGCTTTAAGTATTTATGCATTTTAAAAGGGAACTATTAAAATATATAATTAATATCTTATTTTAGTTTTATTACTTCATGGATGACGTAGGCCATTTAAATAGAAACAATAGTATGTAGTCTGTCAAGATGTTTCTATATTAACGTACTTTACAAAATTAAATATTCGCATTTACGATATTCATAAGGATAAATACATTTTCATTATTGGATATACTTTAAACAATTTTTGTTTCTTGTCTAAATAGCCTTGAATAAAATTAGAACTGTTGAAACTAGAGTAAAACTGGAAATAGTAATTAGGTAATTAGGTAGGTAAAAGATACATTTTGAATTTATAGACGTCATATCCGTTGAGTTAAAAATTAATATTCATATTCATCCGGTATATATCAAGGATTTTTAAAATTTAAAGTTCGAATTGAACCATTCATAGGCATTCTCATAATATATTTTTTAAACAAACGTGAAATAAGATTTTATGTGATTAAACTGCCCATGGAAAAGAAGATGTATGCTTTTCTTTTACACACCATAATATTAGTTTAGTGTACACTATTAAAGAATACAGTGCTTATTTTTGTTTAATACGATATTGAAAGTTTAGGTGTATCTTTTACATCATACTATACTAATTATGATATACATTGTAATGCGTAATTCATACTAATTACATTGCGTTAGTTTCATTAAAAAGGGTATAATTTAGAAATTTATTTAATTAAACGCACACACATAAAAACTCCGATATAATATTACATTTACTCGACACGCTTGTCAGGATCACAGCATGGTAGCCGTGATTCAACGTGAGGGCAAGAGAAGGACACGTCTTCTTCTCTTCTCTCACAAGGCCCTAAGGGCTCGAGTGGCTTCACACAAGTTTCTACAGGCGGCATGGGTTCTCGAGGGTAGTCAGCAATGCGAACTGCTGCGGGGGAAACCTGTGGAATATCTCGTCGAAATTCCTTTATTTTGTCGTAGGCATCCGGCTGTAAACGCATGTGTTCGGGTACCTGAATATATAGAGAGAGTTAAAAAATATATACCTATATAATGAGGATGTCAGCTTAAAATGTGAGGTCAGCTAAGACTTTGATTATGGAAATGAAATGCATAAAAACGCCTTATTTGAATTTATTGATCGCCGTTCTTAAGATTTATGCAATTTTTTAATATTATGTAGGCTCATATATATTTCAATAATCATATAATATAATTAAATAATTATTATCAGTATAGCTAAATACGTATAATATTACCTTTTTACAATCGATGTCATAAGTTCCGAGATAACCCGCAAGTTTCTCTTTTTCAATGACTTCATCCCCCATAGCGTTCTGAGCCTGCTTATTTGGGACGAGGTCATACGCACATTGATCTCTAGCACGACGCTCAGATCTCTCTTTGGCATTCTGTTGGAACATTATAAGAATATAAACTCGTGTTTATAGTATAATATGTGCCTTAAAATAAGACATTCTGTTTCAACAATAGAGCAAAAGCAATACGATGACTTACAAAAATATAGAGATAGGACCTACATAGGTAACTCGTACGAGAACATTGGATTTATTTAAATACATAAAATTGAACTTCTGTCGGCCTTTTTAGAACTATGATATTTTAGAGTGTGTAGGTAGAGTAACTTTTATGAAGTAGAGTTATTATATTGTTGAGTAGAACTAAACATTGTCTCTTTGCATAAGTAACAAATTGTAATACTCATACCGCATCTTTGTATCTATCGCAGAAGTCTACATCTTCGTTGAAATGTGGTTGTTGTCCCGGGGGATAGGTCGCTTGCTTGCTCGTGCCGGTTCTATCAGTGACTGCTGGTCCGCTGAAGCAAACTATCTTCTGGTGATCGTCGCGGGCAGCACTCGACTTTAGTATACCTTTCAACGGTATTACGTTGTCGCATGTTGGCTTACTATAAAAATGAAACAGTAAAAAAAATATGTTCAAGAAAGATTTAAAAAAGTATGTTCTATATAAAAATATTTTTATTTATATATATTTCTGTAGGTATATTATATAACAAAATTATTAACAATTGAAATAGAGAGAGCAATTGAAGAATATTTTATTACACTTTCCGGAAAGATAATAAGTTAAAGGAAGTTTCCTTTTTTTTGTTGTTCACTAAACTTTGTTGAGGGTAAATAAAAATTTATTTATCTTAAGAAACAAAGAAGAATGGAATCGTCTTGAAAGGCCGAGACAGGGAGACATTTGTGGCGTCTAAATCAAAAATTAAATATACAGGTAATAAAAATAATGCTTAAAAGGTATCAAACTAAGCATGTAGATAGATTTATAGATAAAAATAATGACATGTATGTATGTATGTTTTCAGCCCTTTTAACGTCCCACTGCTGGGCACGGGCCTCCCTTCATACGAGGGGGATTAGGCCATAGTCCACCACGCTGGCCTAGTGCGGGTTGGTGGACTTCACATGTCTTTCGAAAACTTGCTAGGTTCTCTCAGACATGCAGGTTTCCTCACGATGTTTTCCATCACCGTAAGGCAAATGGTAATCATGTTAGAAATGATTCGCACATGAAAATATCAGAGGTGCGAGACCCGGGATTTGAACCCGCTTCACTCGGTTTACCAAGCGAGCGCCTTACCACTGGGCTACCACTGCCTTGTGTATGACATATACATTTTAATTAATAATAATATACATTTTAATTAATAATATGAAAACAAGTTTGACTTAGAATTCATTAGAATTTCGACACTAAGACTATTAGTACCTACTGTGTAGGTACCTACTAGGTAAATATAAAAATATTCAAATTATGATTGTGACTGAAAGCAACATAAAATTTATTATATGTAATTTGTATAAAATGCTTAAAACGTCAACTTGTATAAAATGCTTAAAACGTCACCTTAATCTAACAGCACGTAGTGTGTCATCGTAAGAAATGCGATCAGTGGTCAAAGGCGGTGTGGCCGGTCTGGGCGGTGAGGCGCTGCCTTCAACCACGTCTAGAGCTGTCAAGCAATGCTCCATAGCGCTCGGTTCCGCCACAGCCGCTTGACCAATCTTAGCCAATTGGGCTCTTGTATCTGCAGCTTGTTCTTCTCTAAACGCTTCCTATTTGAATGATGAAAATTGAATTGAATGAATTATGAAAAAAAATAAAGACTTTAGTTTTAATTTGCAAGTCATTTTCTTATATTGCAAAAATGATAGTATTTATGTAACAATTTATCTGTAATTATATAACAAACATAGTTTTATTACATGGCGATTAATCTATGCAATAAAATGTTATTATTAATAAAAAGAGGATGTTTTTCTTCTTCTTATAGTACCTAATATAAGTTATCTTTTCTTTGGTAAATTCTCTTTTTTATTTTAAATTCAGAATAACATTTTTATGAGATTTATTTTGATTAAATTATTTTTTTAAAATACTATTGCTTTAATTTTCTTTAATATGCACAATTTGCTTACACCGCCTGTAAACTTCCTAGATATTTAATTTCTTATATCTTCTTATTCATTCTTATTGACGCAATCATCTTGTGTCATTGCCATATTATATAAACTACCTAGTTATTAATGTTACTAATTACCATTTTATGATACATTGTATAATATTGATATAATATACTCACCTCCAACTCATCCTTCAAGTTACCTTCTCTCATGTGATAATTGCGAACATTATTGATAACCTCTTGTGGAAATTTTTCTGGATTTGCACTCATGTAGCGATAAACAAATAAATCACATCCAACTATCTTGAATCGATGTTTGAATACGGGGATTATTGCTCCTACATTAGTAAACAAAACTCAATATTAGTAATTGCTTATTTTTTTTATTTTGTTCCCAAAGGAAGTATCCCTGTGCGGGGACAGAGTTCCAAAAATGTAAAAGACTCTTTAATTATATTTTTTCTTTGAATAACCATATTTAATTGCCCAAAGATGGACTCGACTAATGCATAGGAACAACTGAAAATATCTATGTGATAACTAAATAATCACTATACTTATGTCTAGATGGGCTAAAAACTGGGCTATCAAGTATTGAGACGTCTGCTTTCTCAACGAGATGTCAAGACGTGTGCTCCAGTTTCTCCATCATCTTTTCAAGCTCCTAGCTCTTGGGCACCTCTCTAAACAGCCAATGAAAGCAAGGCAGAGGAAGGACACACTTTGTTGTTTCCCGTTAAAAATGTCCATGGTATCATCACTTACCTACCAACTGCTCGCCATATTATTATTTTTATATTAATTATATTACGGCTAAGGATATATGCTTGAGCAAAACGTAGTTAGAGAAGGAACGATGAAGAGTGTTTGGTGAAAGCAAAATAACAGTACTAGATATATTGATGCAAATATTTTTGTATTGCTTCACTCCATTCCTCTACTCGGGTATACTTCTCTTATAATGTAGTCATTTCCCACTTTTTAATATCATCGAAACACCGCTTGTTTAAGATGGCTTGTCTTTGATATGACAACACTTGCAGGGATCGAACCCGCGACTTCGTTTGCAGTAGGTAGAGTCAGTTATTCATATCACATGATCTATGTCGTAAGATATATAATATACATCGTGTGGACTTTAATAGTCTTGTTTAATCATTTCTCGAAGGTATAAATAATATTTAGATTCGTATATATTTCTGCATCAATTATGAAATATTTCTGCGAACCATGATTGTAAACAAATAACACAGCAATATTTATTCTCGTTTTAAAAGTAACATATATACCTAAATGTTTCTTTTATGGTGCTTAGAGCACCTAATATAATCGACCATTATACTTTGGACTTGAAAAAATTACAATAAGTTGTACAAAATTAGTTACTTATTTGTCATCATTGTACTAAATATTCCATTGTTGTTATGACAATCCCACTCAAAAGTAATTGCGTGTTAAAAAATTCGACACATACCTACACTTATATATTATAGTTATATCTGGGTACATATTTGGTAAATTATAATAAATGATTAAATCTGTGAGCCCCGATTTTTCTGCGTAGGTATATAATTATATCCAACGAGAAGGAAAAATAATAGCATTATCTTCAGACACAATAACAATGCCGTTTATGGCCTGCGGAATGGCCAGTTAATTTTTCGTACACAGTACTTGAACCTCTCTTACATTAAATATGGTTATAGATATAAAGAAATTTAATTTTAATCACGCTCTCTGTATTGAACTATGACAACAAGTATAACGAATAACTAACGAGCAAATCATGTGACTTCGTACCGTAATTAGGACAGAAATCACGGAACATAATTTGCGTTTGTTAAATTTATAATTGTAGATATACTAAATGTTACAATTAGAAAATAACATATGTTTTTCTTAATTTACCTATATAGAAATAGATTATCGTACCAATAGATTTAGATTACCTACATACATAGGTAGTAGGCCCAACAAAATTATATGAAATTGATTAATATTGAAACTTACGTAATTAAAAGTAATCAGATATTGGAAATATTTCATTCGTTAAATCTATGATTAAAATTTAGTATTGCATCTATTCTGAAAAACTGACGTGACTTAGTTAGGAATGAACTACATAATATATTCACATACTTACCAATATAGAATCTATCGGGAGTGTAATAGGTAGGGAAATTAGGATCGGATTCCGGCGTTTGCAGCCGCATGGCCTTTAAGAATTGTCCTTCGCGTATACCCGAATTACGTCGTGGTATTTCACCAATTTTCACATTACCGTCGGCGAGGCTGTATGAGAGAACGAATTGACGTCCTTTATCTTCTGGATGAATCCAGTCTAGTTCACAGAGGTAGCGGAGATACTGAGGAAAGATAGATTTTATAAATCTCCTCGAACTGAATAAGACATAAAATAGCAAAAAATAGCAGATTCGACCTTTTTTTGTACCGACGACAAAAAACAAACACATTTACGCTTATGTCCTTAAATTTTAAGTTATCAGAGCTGTATTTTTACAGTTATAAAGCTGTTATATTACGCATAAAAAAAGTTAATTGCCTAAAATCTCATGTTTACTTTAGACACCTCTTTGGAAATAATAGAAATTGCGAAATCAATTTATCTGCTGTCTCTTCTTACAGAGTTACTTATTTTAAAGTGTTTTTAACTGGAAAATCAGTTAAGACTAGTAAGTAGTAGCATAAATGGATTTTAACCGTAGAGGGACCACTCGAGCACTAATTCAGCATTCTTTGTACGTTTGCTCTAAGTGCATCTGGATATAATTAACAGAACGTGCGTCCTTACTCCTTGCATTGCGTTCCACTACGAGTAGCAACAAAAAAAATTAAAACGAGTCGAATTCGACATTCGACATTCGAGACAAAGAGTTGCGTACCGTCATACATGTACTTTTTTAATATGAGTTTTACTCTATATATGTAGTATATTAACTTCGATGATTGATTACGAACGTTAAAACAATCTTGTATTTTTATTGTTTTACTTTCATTTATTTTTGTTATTTGTTGTTATAGCGGCAAAGGAAATACATACTCTGTACCTATTACGGTTCATGAGATACAGCCACGTCTCTGACAGACAGATGGACGGACGGACAGCGGAGGCTTAGTAATAGGGTCTCGTTGGTACTCTTCGGGTACGGAACCCTAAATACGATATTAATATAATAATACTTTGATAGCTACTAATTTGCAATATTTAATATTATCTGTACAAATAAATAAAATAGAAGTATCTGCTTTTAACGTCACAATAATAGCTTTTTACAAAATGCATATGAAAGTTTATACCGTACTTATAACAAAAAAACAATTTTTAAAATTTTTGTCTGTCCGTTCGTTTGTTCCGGTTAATCTCCGAAACGACTGGTGCAATTTTGACGGGACCTGCACTGGATAACTGATGTTATACGGAGTAACATTTATTTTAGAAAGAGAATTAAGGTTCCTCGCAAAAAAATTAAAACCCAAACTCTGAAATTATCCACGTATTTAGGTCCTAGGTCGCACCCAAGCGAAGCCAGGGTAAGTCGTTTGTCAATAATAAATATCTTCAAAACAAGACACGTGAGAGAGACATGTGTTCATGTAAAATGTTTGCGATCAAAAATAGTTTTAAATAATGAAGAAAATCATCCTTTTATAAGAATATTAAATTAGAAGTCTGTGCAAAATCAAACGAAAAATATTATTTTCTTACTATGATCGTTAGAACTCTACGAGGGAAGCAAGGTTACAGGAACAAATTGCATAAAATATTCTTTTTCTTTAGGGTTCTTTAACTCCGAAGAATAAACGGCACTCTTGACGAGATCACATGTTTCTTTCTATTTGTGTTCACGTGTCTGCCGTTTATCTATTTTCAGTAAGTTTATTAGAAGAATTATGAAATTTGGTACGAAATAATATATGACGACTCAATAATGTATGGTTAGTCCAGTCAAATAAGGTCTGAAATCAAAATTTGGCACTCAACTTAGCATTTTTGATATAATGTAGTTTTAATGATACAAATTAAAACTACGAGTACATTATATCAAAAATGCAAAGTTGAGATTCAAATTTTTATTTCCGACCTTATTTGACTGGACTATGGTGTAAACAATTATTTTGTAAGTTTTAGGATCAGAGCCAAAAATATAAATGGTTTTTTTTATTAAAATACAAAATGAGTCGAGCAATACTTTTATTTTAGAAACACCGGAGATATCGATAAAAAATCGTATAAAAAATGCTAGTATTGAGAATCTGGTGCTACTATTTTAAAGTTGGTTAAAGTAAATTTAAGAAAAGTTGAAAATCCACTGAGTAATACGCTTGAGAAATTGAAAAATGAATTATTAGAAAGTGCTGCGTTGTATAAAATGTAATATTAAAATTGTCTTATAAAAAGTAATATAACGTTCCGCAGTTAGGATGCAACTACGCTCTACGATGATGTTATTTCTTTGCACGAGCAATTATCTGTAATTTTATTATCATTACCAAGGACCGTAGCTTATTATTAAGAGTAGTAAAAAATAGACATTTCAATTATATTTATACAAATGTTTAATCTTCAGTTAGTTACGTCGTAAGTCTAGTGATAATTTTTGATTTTTCATAAATGATGACGGAAGTTACGCCTCGGTATTGTAGATTCTAAGTTGAACTCATGCTCGTACGCTTGTTTTTGTAGTTTATGCGCTCACATGAGGTAAGAATAAAATTGCTTAATTAATGCAAAATAATTTACTTCTCAATTTAATTCGTATAGTCATTCAAGAAAACTAAGTATAGGTACACCTAACCACTCACCAGTAAATTTAATCATAATATTTTATAAAATATTACTGGTAAAAAGCTTATTATTAGATAATTGAGAACGTCTCAATTTGGAGAGAAACTTTTTAATGAAATTAAACTGGACTGTTGGTTTTTTTAACTTTTCATATAAAATAATACACAGGCAGATTATGACATATAATAACATGTAGGCTGCTGTTATCATTCATCTACGGACACATCTGAGCGAGTCAATAGTATATATAGAAAAGAGATTATATAATACTAGCAACTCACCTCCCTTTTGTTTCCTGATTTTTTTTGTAAAAATTGGAAAAAAGTTTTAAACAAAAGTTGTAGAAAATAAATGGATGTTAAAAATGGATAGATGCATTTTATTGATTAAACCAATATTTTAAGAGTTATCGGTCGAGATAGAAGAACCGGTTCATTAAATGGGCCATAAATCGTAAGCGGTAAGTTTTACAAAAAAAATTTATTCTCTATAAAAATAGTTTCAATACATTTTGCCCTAAAGTGCATAGTTTCTGAGATATCGGCCAAAACATTTTTTAAGGTGGCGCCTGAAGCTCCACCGGAACCTGCCAGCATTTTGTGATTTTATACTCAGTAAGTAACCCTAAACCTTATAAAATAAAAAAAAAACTTAGATCGGAAATTTAGTGCAAAGTTGACCAAAAAAAACGTCTATTTTTACTGTACCTAGTATTAGTAAAAAGCTATTATTTTGACAATACAAACAGACACTTCAATTTTATTTATTTATATATAATAATATGTATTATGTGAGGTGATTTATATACATTTACCTTATTAGCATTCAGGTTGTATTTAATGATGTCCTTGTGGGGTGGTTTAGGTATCAATCCGTAACAGGATTGCAACGTGTCCTCTGGTGCGCCAATACCGATGTGGGGAGGAATACTCTGCATATATTTAAACTTAATTATTATACTGGTATAACAATCTGTAACTACTATTTATATAAGAAAATAATTTATAATACAAATATAATATGAAAATTAAGAAAGGCACATTTCTATTATTTCCATATTAATTAGATACCTTAAAGCTAGGTCGCTATCATTCTGTAAGCCTTAAAAGCTTGAGCTAATGCTTAAAAGTTAAATTTAAAGTTAAAAAAATAATTGTATCGTTTGAGAACTTCATATATATTTCACGACGATGCGAAAGTAGTCAATTACTCTAAAAAGGTTTTAAATAAAATACATGTACCTACATATTGCAAACTCTATTTAATTTATCTAAACCACTTATTGATTACTATAAACTCAAATGAGAAAGTAATTTAATTTGGTACTTATCACTTTTTTATATAGAACAGACAGAGAGTGGTATAAAGGCTAGTTAGTAATGTATTCAGCCCTTTTTAATGTCCCACTGCTAGACACGAGCCAATACAAAGTAGTTCAATACAAAGGGAATCAGGCCATAGTCCGCCACGCTGGCCAAGTGCGGGTTGGCGGAAAACTTGCTAGGTTTCCTAAGACATGCCGGTTTCCTCACGATGGTTTCCTTCACCGTAGGGCAAGTTGTAATCATGTTAGAAATGATTCGCGCATTAAAATGTCAGAAGTGCGAGACCCGGGATTTGAACCCGCTTCACTCAGTTTCCCAAGCGAGCGCGTTACCACTGGGCTACCACTACTGTTAGTAATAAAATTTGCAAAAAGATGGCGCCGCCTGTAGAAAATAGTATAAATACGAAAGCGCCTGAAAGAAAAAAGTAAAGTCCGCTAGTACTAAATAAAACATGTTTCAATTCACCTTAGGAAAATCTTTTTTGGTCTCGTGGTGAACTTCAATTCGAGGTGGTTGATCAATGTTCAGCATCATCCTGATTACGAGTACAGAATTATTTATGATGAAATTATGCAATGTTACTGAATAATAATTATTAAATACTAGCGGCTCACCCTCGCTTAACTCGGATTCACCTCTAGGACATAAACAAACCTATCACTTTGGAATCGTACATTTTCCGGGATAAAAAGTAGCCTATGTGTTATTCCAGACTATAATCTATCTCTGTGCCAAATTTCATCCAGATTCGTTCAACCGTTCTAGCGTGAAAGAGTAACAAACATCCATACATACTCACAAACTTTCACATTTATAATATTAAAATACCGATTACACTGAGTTTAAAATATTCTACAAAGCAACAAAGTTTAAAGCTAGGTTAATTAGCGGTTAAAATTGTAATGTAAAATTTAATACAAATATATCCAATATTTAAATACAATATATTCCTGCTCATATAGTTAAATCTGCTGTATGAAAAAATAATAATAAATCTTTATAATTTGCTTTTTTCTCTCCTTACAATAAGATAAATTAACAAACCCATTTACGTAAATCGAAAATACAACCAAAATACCTATAAAATAATAATTGAAGAATAATATCATAATCTCTTACAAATAAACGCGCATTAAAATAAAAACAAAGTTTTTTACTATTGAAAGATTCAATTTTCTATCTGAGCAGATAGAGGTCAGAATTGATGTGTGAAAACTGACTTCCAACGCAATACGCAGAACTAGGCTTTGGAGGATAATGATAGTACGCGAATGCGATTTCATTACGTCTCGCTAAAATAAAGACGGGTTATTTTAGCTATTATCCCCAGCAAGTTTTAATTGGTACTCTGGTTCTGTCCAGCGAATGTCCCATAGCCACCTGCATTGGCTTTCCAACAATAAAAAAGTAGTTTGCGAATTTTCAACTGAAAATAAACCTCTTTCGTGAATTATTACTTCATTCGAATTAATAAAAAAGCTTGCTTTTGGATTTATTTAAAAGATTGAAATTTAAACGTAGTAATGTATGTTAAGTCAGGAAATCATTATTGAAATTGCGAAAATATACAGTCTGCCATATCGCATTTGATGTTCTTAGAAAGTTTGTGAAAAATACTAATTATTTTAAATTTTAGTCCTTACTCAGGACATGCTAAAAATAAATAAATCTGTCCTTGTTACTATCTTATAGCCCGTGCAAATCATACGTAATATTAAATATGTACCGATAATGTACACAGTGAAATATGCGTAGAATACCTACTGCAAAATAAAATATATTTTTAATTTAGATTCTTTCGTGAATAATTCAGTGCTACTTTAAAGAGCAATACTTTGCAGCTCAAAATGGAGTGGTGCCAACGATGCATTGTTTGGAACCTTCTTAATTATAAATTGTCAGCATGGACCAGTGAATATAGGAATAATAATTTCTTCTATGCATACTGTTATGAAATATATTTTGAATCTTACTAATTTTATAAATGTGAAACTTTAGATGGATGTTTGTTACTCGTTCACGCCAGAACGGCTGAACGGATTTGGATGAAATTTTGCACAGAGATATATTAGTCTGGTATAGCACATAGGCTACTTTTTATCCCGGAAAAATGTACGGTTCCCGTGGGATAGATTCGTTTTTGTTTTCCCAGAGGCAAACCCGAGCGAAGCGAGGGTAAGCCGCAAGTATGTTATAATTGTATTATAATTAACGAAAATTCAAATTATTAATTGATTTAATGTAGAGTGTAATGTTCTGGTCATTTACTATTAGCTCTAATGGCTTGTGATATCATGTGAGCAATAATGTTGTTCTAATGCATGTAGAGCTTTATTGAGGCATACTTCATTGTTATAGGTAATTTACGTATACTTGTAATAATGAAAACTCATTTATTCCGAATAGTGGATTTACATTTTATATTAATATAAAAGGACTGGGTGTTTCTAATAATATACGTAAAAAAATATAGACACATATAAAGCAGAGCACTGCTATACTGCTATATTTCACATATTTTGTGCATTCGAGTATATTATATTTCAGAAACCTCGGATACTGCACTTTCACACTTAAAGCTCAGCTTATAGTAAAATAGAATATGTTGGCTTAGCTTGGCTTACTATCACACTCGCGAGCACGTATGTGAGTAGATATATATATTTGAGTAACTAACTTATAATATTTCCGAGTAAACTTGTCGCAGTCGAATATCAGGAAGCGGCGTCCCAGCACGAACACCGTCTGACCCACAATCAGGTCCCTTGGCGCATAAAACTCGGTTATTTCCTCCTCTGTTGTTTCCATAGCAATTGACGGAAATGATACTGAATAAAAAATAAGATATTAGGTGTAATCAAACTCGTAAATATTGCCTATAATTGACACGTGCATTGAATTCTCAGATAAAATCGATTTTAGTTACATAATATATGTATGCCTAATGTAGATGTAACCTGCGTTTGCTCTCGAATAGACTTGCTAGCTACTTAACCTTTCTGTTTCAAGTACAATGTATTTATTAAACATGCATTCCTGTATTTCATTTTGAAGTCTTCAAAACTAATGTTTTTGGATTCCTAGATTATTTATACCTACAACATTTTTGCCTTGAGCCCAAAGACATTTTAATCATGTAAATTATGAAGTAGTAAATTAAATTATTTAAATTATTAAATAAAAGTAAAATTTGAAAAAGGGAAATTATGCATATATATTATGTTAGATGATATGTAAGTATATGTAAAGTTTGTTTTTTACCTAAGTCTGTACATAATTACATTGTAAAAATGGACAAGCAACTTTGTACAGTAGATATACCTATATTATATAGATACATAATTATAAGATGCAGAAAAAAGGCAGTCAGATAATAATTGATGTTACATTAATTATAAAGGACTTAAGTGTTGGCGTCAAACTATTATCATACTTCAATTCTTTCTGAAATAAAATAAGTATTAGTAATAAGTTCTATTTAATTCTTTTTGTTTGTAAACAAAACTGATACAACATTTCCAATTTAGTAAGTCGTACAACGCAATACAGTTTCCGCGCGTTTAACCCTCCAAATAGCTTTTCGATGTTTCATTTTGTTGGAGTTAACCCGCTCCACTGGCTCCAGTAAACTAGCCTAAACGTTGGTATCTGTACATCTAAATAACAACTTGCAAACGAGTTGATTCTAATAGCTGAGGGTAAAATCCCGCAAGTAAACAGGATGTTAATCGGAGTTGTGCCAGACTTATATTAATAGAATGCTTTTAAGGCGATTATGCTATGAAATTTTGAGTAGATGTCGAGCTCTTGAGCTTATTTACTGCAAGATTAATAGTAACGTTTTGAGAATGAAAATTGAATAGTATCCCCGAGATTCAAGTATAACCGCTCGAAACTTCGCGAGGTATCTCTTACCTTGGACTATTTTTTATAAAAAATCTTAATGAGACTTAATTGTAATAATATTTGAAATATGTGTTTTTTATAATATATTAAATGAAAACAAATATAATATTAATCGATGTAGACAAAGCTACTAACAATAAGTAGGTAAGTACTAAGTACCTACTCTAAAACTACAATTAAAAAAATCTTCATTTCAAAAATCAATCCATGCTTAGTACCTACACGAAAAGAAGCAAAGACCCAATTTTTCTTATCCCTATACTTTTCCGGCGCTTAGTGAGCTTTTTAATCGACATAATAATAAACCACCATTCTTGTATAACTTTTATCAATATTTGAATTAAAGGAATGAATTCGTAATAAAAGCTTCTTAATAGTATTATGCTTTAAGAATAGAAGAAATATATTGAGAAACTTTATTCTTTGTTAAATATTGTTTATATAAAATACTGAACCTGGTCTTTCTTTCCACTTTTTCGGCAGTTTTCTTTTCTTGAGAAGAAGCGGAAAGGGGTCCTTGCCACCTCTACTATCGTGCAATTCCTAAAAATAAAAAATAAACGTATGATCAAAAACACATTTCAATATGTATTCTATAATAAACATTATTATATATTAGTTTTGTGTTATATTTTTTAAAGTTAAGCAAAAGAAATTTTATGAAAGTTTTCTGTGATCCTATTGTTAAAACCTATAATCACGTAGGTACATGTAACATTCAAAAAAGAATTAACGACTCGAGGTAAAGGTTTGTGTTTGCTTATGGTATTAATTTTGTGTTATAATACTCGGAATAATCACTACTTAAACATATTAAAAAGTTACAGTTATAATTAAAATTTCCATAAATTTATTTCTTAAGATATATTTGGAACAAGATATAAGAATCTCTTAATTCTGCAAGACAAAAAGCGCTTTCATGCCCATACCTATCGTACACTATATGCTGTAAAGGCCTAATTTAATTAGTTAAGGTAAAAAAAATTGAAATATAATCTTTACATATAATAAAATTGTAACTAAGCCGAATCTGTACATTAAATATTTTTTGGAAAATCTTATTGAAATAGACATTATTATCGATATAGAGGCCAAATCTATAGTTTTTAGAATTTTTGTCTGTCTGTCTGTTACCGCATCACGGAAAAACCACTGAAGGGATTTTTATGAAATTTGGTACGGTAAAAGCTGGTTATCCGGGTCAACATATAGGATACTTTTTATCGCGGGAAAATATCTCAATTCTGAGAAAAAATACAAAAACTGCAATTTAAGAGTAAAACCTAAGAATTTGATTTTTGGTCATCTGAACGCGGGCGGAGCCGCGGGCAATGCCAGCTGCTGCGGATTATCCGCAGGTTTATAGAAGTTAATAGTTAATGAATTATTAGGGGAGAGAAGAAAAGTTATAAGTGTTTTAATTAGCGCCTGCTACTGTCCAATAAATATTCATCACTTCGATTCTCTACAGCCCTAAATTGTTTCGAAATTAGAGCCAAAGTTTACACTGTCATCAAAAGCTTTTATTACTGCAGCTTTAATGGGACGAAAACTTTAGATAACGGGATCAACAGAGATATTAGAAGCGGTCACGATCGCGATTTGCTTAAATGGTTTTAGAAAATGATTTGATTAATCATTATAACAGAGTATATTAGAGAGTTTTCTCTTTAGAAAGGATCTCATTAATTTTAATTAAACATAAAATGATATGGCTTCCACACACTTCTAGCAAATGATATGGCTTTTCTTAAATAATATATTAATCTTTGATTTGAAAGCTTTTAGCCTCAATTTGAGAAGATGGCATGAATACAAAATGTGACATATATGATAATAATAGATATAATATTATGCCTCAGACTAAAGAATAATATATATCATAGAACTAAACATGAAGCCAAAAAATATATTTTAAAATAGTATAGAAATGAAAATTGTATTGATTAATAAGTAAATAATTATAAATAAATAAAAGTATTGCATTTTATAAAGAAAAAAATTAGCTAATATTTTGCTATCTCTCTTTCAAGGGGAAGAGATGCTCAAAAATTCAAAAGAAAATAAAATTTTTATATTAACTTAACTAATATATGTATTATTAAATAAAACTATCTTTTCGGATTATTTCGCGGATTTATTTTGATTTTTGGTTCCGTTCATTTTTCATTATTCATTCATTTTTCATTTGTAAAAGTATATATTAATAGTGTTGCTTAGTAAGTTGTTTTTAAATAATAGCCAACTAAATTAAAATTATAATCCTTAATTAATTTTAACTTTTTAAATTACACATTGAACAATTATATAGCTTAAATAATTAATACTATATTTTATATTTTTCTTTATGGTTATAAATATAATAATGGCAACACTAAATATAGATTACTAATTAATATTTTTAAAATTGTAATAATTATAAAAATAATAGCAAAAATTAAATAAACAATTTTCCATATTCAATTATAATTAAAACTATAAAAATGTCTAAAGTTAAAATATTGTAATGTAATTGGTGCAATTTTCATTTTGTTGATTGTGGGTAGGCTGTCTGTAACAACTATATCTTTCAGACATGTAACACCTCAGTCTCTCCCGTGACCATGGATGCTGTAAAGCATTCGAAACGTCGGGAACCAAAAATCAAAATAAATCCGCGAAATAATCCGAAAAGATAGTTTTATTTAATAATGTCAAACATTCGCGTAAATCTAAGAAAGTATAATATATGTATATAAAAAATCCCTTATTCTTAAAAGGAAGCAAACGATTTGTATGGCAAAATCGAGAACAGTAGCATCACAGCAAATCACGCTACTATTTACCAATCTGCGCGACGCAAAGGAGGGTAATGTGTTTATCAGCCTATATATGTATGTATGTCTGTATGTATGTGGGTTTGTGGCACTATTTAGACCAAACGCGTGGGCTGATTTTGATAAATAACATGTCGTTTGATTCGTCATGACGGCGCGAATGTGATAAAAAGCATAAAAATTTGGAAAAATCAAAATGGCCGATTTTGGACGCCATAATGTGAAAAATAAAAAAATTAAAATTGACGAACTATCAAGTAGGGTATCGTTGAATAGGTATTGAAAAACATTTTTAGGTTTCTTTTATCATTTTTCATTTTAAATAACAGTTAAGGATAAATAATTATTTAAAGTTGGTCAACAACCGTTCTCGCTAATTTCCCTACTTAAAAATACTTAAAAAGCTGTTAATAAATAAATATATTATGAAAATAAAAACCCGACTGCATAAGAACTAACTAAAAATATGAAAACAAGTTCACGAAGGTATATAGTATTATGCAGTCGGAGACATATGTACATACATACGAGTATGCCTGAAACGTGTATGTCTCCGACTGCATAATAACTATATTTTTCATCTTTTTGGTTAGTTTTTATGCAGTCGGGTTTTTTATTTTTATAATATTATGACTTTGACATTTATTTTGTCGGATTCTTTAAAATACATTAGTCTAAGTGTTATGATTATCAAGTACTACAACACATTCATAAAGCAATTTTCTTATGAACTCGGTGTTAGTTCATAGCTATATAATGTTACAATCATGTCCAATCAATTCCAACTTAAAAAGATATTGTAAAAGGCATCATAGTATATAATTTGTGTTAATAATAAATTGTATTTTAATAGGTTTATTTAATAATAAAACATTATAATTGCTTAACATATAAAAAAGAATTTTTCATAAACAGTTTTATAGGGAAAACTACAAAAATAAATATCGACTATTTGATAAAAAAATCAGCTGGCATGGGCTTATATAATAATGAACCTTAACTTTAAAACGATTAGAGTCACTGTAGATTGTGTTAAAATTTAATTTTCTTTAAGCAATTTTATATTTTAATCCAATAGATGACTTCAAATATGCGGTAAAATCTCGTTAAAATGAGTAAATGCATTACCTTAATAGCGATCGTATCGTCTTGCAGGAAGTAGAACATCTTATACTCGGTTAGTTCCCCGTATTCGGCGTCACGGTTATCCCAAACTACATTGAATCTACAACAAAGAAACATTTTCTAATTATTTAATACGCCAATATTCTATACAGATAATAAAATTCTAACTGAGTCAAATACGTACATTAAATATTTTTAGGCAAATCTTATTGAAATAATCATTATTATCGATACAGAGGACGAATCTATAGTTTTTACAATTTTTGTCTGTCTGTCTAGTTATTGAGTCTTTTTGTATAGTAAGTCTCAGTAACAGCCCGGAGTTGGGAAGTTGGCGGTGTTTCACTCCCGTGCCTCGGAGAGCACGTAAAGCCGTCGGTCCTGCGCCTTAACTCTCACCGGTCGTGTCGAGTGGTCGTCCCACCGGAGTATGAGAGTGATAGGAATAGAGAGTGCACTTGTGTCTGCGCGTACACTTAGTACTATAATATCTCCTGCGCAGTTGGCTAATCTCATTGAGATTGGCCGCCGTGGCCGGAATCGGCTAGGAGAACATCATCATCATCATCATGTCTGTCTGTCTGTGACCGCATCACGAGAAAACCATTGGACAGATTTTGATTCTTTTTTACTTTTCTTTTGTTTTTCTTTTCTACATTCAAAGGGTGGACAACTGGATACCGGATATTTTGCTAGCTAACATTGTCTCTGTATATAATAATCAATTTAAAAAGAAAATCATTCTGGAGAATTCCCTGACAACAATCAATAAAAACAGCAATCAATGACTATTCAATAAGTATATCTTATGAAGTTCAATTTTATTATATATCTTTATTATTCTGTTGCATGGGACCACGAAAACGTTAAAACCGTTTAAGTGATTACACATCACTATTTTATTAACATTAACGCGTGCCGATTTTCGGACAAATTACTTCTTACGACTGTCACTGAGTGAGGTGATGACCACATTCTGTTATCGACATCGATAAGGGAAAATTATCGTTTCCTACATTAAGAATTCATATCAAATATTATATTTTACAGTAAAAAAACCGCAATGAAGTATTTTTATGGATTTTTAACTTCACGTTATTTGTAATAAATCCCACAGGGTATCCATCATAGGCATTTGACACATTATGCACTATATTGCAACACATTGGTAAGTGCGCCGTGACTACTTTTCTGCTCTATATAATATACTAGCGACTCACCCTTGCTTTGCTCAGGTTTGTCCCTAGCTTACTTCCCAATACAAACTTTCATCCCTATTTTCACCCCCTTATGGGATGATTTCCGGGATAAAAAGTATCCTATACTAAGCTATATAAGTTACTATAGTTTTTAACTATTCCACGAGAACTCTTTAATTTTTCGCGATGAAAAGTATCTAAAACGTTGACTGGGGATATAAGGTACCTCCATGCAAAATTTCATTTAAATCGGTCCAACGGTTTCGGAGATAAGCCCGTACAAACAAACAGGAACAAAAAAAATTGAAAAAATCTGAGTTGTTCTATTTCACTTCTTACATCCCCCAAACTTGGTTTTTAGCATTTTTTTTCTATGTACTGACATTCGACCTCTAGTCTCTACAGTTTTATTATATGTATAGATTTTTAAATAAAACTATCTTTTCAGAATTTTTCGCGGATTCATTTTGATTTTTGATTCCCGACGTTTCGAATGCTTTACAACAATCATGGTCACGGGAGAGGCCCGTCCGAGGTCAAAAATCAATATAAATCTGCGAAAAAATCCGAAAAGATAGTTTTATTTAAAAAATCAAATATTCGCGAAAATCTAAGAAAGTATTATAATATATAGTAATTAATAGGATATATAAGGTTATTTTAACTGGTTACACTTTATAAATATTTAAAAATTTAAAATTAAAATTTAAAATTTAAAATATTTATAAAAGCGCCTGTGAAAAATGTATGAGGCCATTTGGGGTGTCCTGCAAGTAATATATTATGGATACCAAGGGCCAGGCTTAGTGATTTATTAATATCCAACCCCTGTAGCAGCCCGAGTTAATACACCATTTTGAATAAATAATGATGAATCAAAACAAGATAACTCACGTAGTAAACGTAAAATAAACATAAAGAAGGCAACTCCTGTTACGAGCTGAAAGGTGTTAGCCATAAAAATCCTTGGTTATGGCAATTTTAAAGATTCATACTGATATATTATTATTTTAATAAGCAAGTTACTCTTAATTCGAGGAACAGTATAATTTATACTGCTAATCTTTGGACTTAGACAAGATTTCATTCAACAATCGTTAATGATAGGAAATCTGAAAAATTTTTTTATGTCATATTATGATTTTATGACAGTTTATTGATGAGAGGGCTTTGAATAATGTCATGTAAGAATATACAGATTGACTCTAAACTGCTCTACATTCTATCCGCTAAGCGTTAAAACCATACTACTTTTGCTTGTTGTTCTCTAATAATTTTACGCTATGTGCGTAAAATTATTAAAGTAAAAAAAGAAGTAAAACGACATAAAAAATGAATATAAAAAAATAAGATTCATGGTAATAGAATAATAATATTAGGACGTTATGACAGGTGCACACTGTACACTGAAGGCAGGATGACGAATAAATAATCACCGATCATCTAAGGAAGTGTAAAACTAAGTTAGGTAAACTAACAACAAAACTAAAAACAAACTATAAAGAAAAATTCGTATAAAAATCCGTTATTTTTAAGATTCGCGGACAGACCCACGGGTAAATGCTACTTATGTATAGGTATTAGGTAGGTACATGAATTTATATATTTTATATAATATTTATTTCCTAAAATCATACTTTCACTAAGCAGCGTATATGGTTTTAAATATAATAAAACCCTATAGGTTTTATATATTCACCTAGTGGTCGAAGTTTCCGGGGCAGAGGCTGACTGCTATCGGACGCGTCCCCGGGTGGCGGATAGGGGAACACCACTCGCACCTGTTTGGACCCGACAGGAGCTTGTGGTACCGGAGCAATCCGGCGCGGACCAACAGCCAGGAGGGGAGGTTGAGGGAGCGGCGTTAGAGGGCGCCGTCGCCTTCTTGGAGGTAGCACGGTGTCTCCGGCCGTTTTGCGGTAGGAGGTGCTGCGCGGGCCACACTGCCGGGGCTAGCCCGTCGGTGCGGCGGCTGGAGCGAGGCCATTTTGGTGGTCCTGCGTATGGCGAGGGATGTCGGCAGCCATTTTGGTCCGGAGGTGGGCCAACGGTAGGGGGGCCGCGGGGGAAGAGGAGTGTCGGTATGGCGATGCGCCGCTCGTCCCTATCTCCCGCGGCCTAGCGGGGCCACCACCGTTGATGGTGGACGCGGTGGGCTGCAGGGGAAGGGAAGTGTCGGCGTTGTCGCATCCTCTTCTCCTGCAGCCGTTTGTGTTTGGGCTCGTTCGCGGGCGTCTTTGGGGGGTTTGCTCAATTTGGGTGGGGTTCATTATTTTTGCAGGTTGCCCACTTCGGTGGGCGGTGTTTGTGTGGTGTGGGGCTGCTCCGGGTACTTCTCTGATCAGCAGAGTGGACTTAGGAGCGGCCTCACTTGTTGGGTTGCAAGTCTTCCCATAATGGGGTTGTCCCGCTTGGGGCGGCCTCATGGTTGATGGCTTCGGCCAACCGTCGGGGCGTCGCGGTTGTATGCGAGAGCGATCCCGTGGCGTCCCACATGGCGGCAGAGGGGGAAAGTTGGGTTTTAGTGGGTATGCCGGTCTCATTAGCCGGAGAGTCTCCACATAACCACCCCGGGGGAAGTCGGGTGGTATCCGTAATAGGATTACCCAACTATAAAAAAAAAAAAAAGAAAGTGGTCGAAGTTCGATCATAATCATTATTGCCAATTTGAGGCAAACATATATAAATAGAATACACCTATTTATAAAAAAAAATCCAAATTTTTTTTTAGCAGATAATAACACTAAAGCACGTCAATTGCTACTAAATAAAAAAAATAAAGAAAATCCATTGACAAAGGAGAAAATGTACGTACTGACCTGTTTTGTCTTTGCCTTTTCATATATATACTAGCATTGCCCGCGGCTCCGCTCGCGTTCAGATGACCAAAAACCAAATTCTTAGGTTTTACATATTAGTATACTTCTTACATTGCAGTTTTTGTATTTTTTCTCAGAAATGAGATATTTTACCGCGGTAAAAAGTATCCTATATGTTGACCCGGATAACCAGCTATCACCATACCAAGTTTCATCAAAATCCCTCCAGTGGTTTTTCTGTGATAAGGTAACAGACAGACAGACTTTCTAAAACTAGATTCGGACTCTATATCGATAATAATGTCTATTTCAATTAGATTTTCCAAAAAATATTTAATGTACAGATTCGACTTAGTTACAATTTTATTATATGTATAGATAAAAAAGACATGTAATGTATATGCGATAAAATGCAAGGACCTATTTTAATAAACATGCGAATTATTATAACAAACGAGCGGCAAAGGAAAGCTATGTTGACTTTAAACTCAGATAGGAAACAAACTGAAGCAGTAGCTAGATAATTGCGGTATAAGGTTTGAAGCTGTGCTAACTAAAACTTTGTCTCGCCATCAGAGCACGGCTAATTCGATGAAGGAACATTGCCGCTTCCATGAATGTTGTTACTTAGTTAACTTAAAAATAACTCGGCAACGACTGATTTTTTTTAATTATTTATAATGAGAGATAGGAAAGAGCATGTTTAGTAGGTAGGTAATTTAAATGAAACGACTCGCTCAAGTCACGTCAATTTAAATGTTATTTTACTTACAGGCTGTAAATTAATTATCTTAATATATATAATTCTTCTGTACGTCTGTTTGTTAACCTACTCCTCCTAAAGGATTGTACCGATTTAGATGAAATTTTGTGTGTATATTTCAAAGGGTTCCTGGATGATTTGAAAATACAAATGGACCCAGTAGGTGGCGTTGCAGTCGGTGTTTCACTAAATTTTCATAAAAGACTCCATTTTCCAAAATAAAAATCGATGTGTGTATGTATGTTTCCTATGGACTCCAAAACAGCTGGAGCGATTTTGATGAAATTTTCAGGTAATCCTCAGATTAGCCCAGCGGGTGATTCTGTGAATTTTGTTACCGATCGGAAGTTTGGACGCGGATGAAGTTGCGGATACTGCTAGTTTAAAATAATATTTAATGTGATGAATATTAAAAGAGTTTTGCCTGCGGTATTTTGCATAGTATGTCGACAAAAAGTCCTTATATTACCACAATGATTTACATAGAACTTGTTTCTACTTTTAGATTTAAAATAGTGTAAGGTACTAATTAAAATAATTTGGCTCCTGAAATATCCATATGATATTGTGAAAATTTTAATATAGGAACATGGAAGCACTAAGGGACAGTGGATGTCATGGTGTGTGGATATTAAAAGCTCACCTAACTATTTTATAAAGGATGAAATGTTATATTAATATATTATTTTATAAAGGCTTTTCACAATTATACCGTGTATCGTGGTGCGATACAATGTACATCATACAATGTACATATTTAATACACATAACATCCCACTCCATTACCATATACAAAACTCTTTGACAAATTAAATGTACCTAAGCATTTTCATCATATGCATGGTTGTATGCCAAAAATTTACAGAAAAATCATATGTTATCGCCCAGTTTAAAATATAAAAACAGATAGACAAAAAAGTGTGCAAAAGAAATTGATTTAAGCCAAAAATAGTATTTACATAGTATTTCGCCACTTTCATTACCTTATTCTCTTGCATTGAGGGATATTAAATACGAAACTAAGCCGAATAGTTTTGAATCTAATCGGATTACCTACTATAATATATATATGCATAAGGTGGTAAGTTTGTGCGTTTGTTTTTGTAAGCCGTTTGTTATTTATTCAAATTATAAAATTAAAAGTTACACGTTCAGTTGCCCAAGTATTTTAAAATAATAAAAATACAAATCAGTTAAAATTATGTCATGGATATTGAAGGAATAATTTATAATTAATTAATTTTCATTTAATGGCCTATTAGTCAGCTCACTACTGTTTGTTTAGGTCGTGAACTTGTTTCTCAATAAGAAAATTTCGAGGGTAACAACTAAATTTTGAACTAAGTTTAAGTTACTTGCATAAATTATTTTAGTAATTAAATTTAACATACAACGCCCAAAATATACATCTCATTTTCCGCTACTCACCGAATTTATTGGGATATCTGTTGGGGGACGCCTTCCTGCGTCTTATTTGCGACTTAATTTAACCGAGATAGGTATTAGGTAGGTACAGTGCTGGATTTACACTAGGGGCACTCGGGGCTAGTGCTCAAGGCGGCTTTTTAGGGGCGGCAAAATTCGGAGGGTGGGAAACATTTTTTCTTCTCGTTATCAAAAATACTTTTTTTATTATACAAAAAAAATCATGATTAAACATTTTTAACTTTCAATGTTTTATTCAAAATTTCGATAATAGGGCCGCATTTTTTACTGTGCCCAGGGACGGCGCTAAGGTTAAATCCGGCACTGTATATGTAGGTACATCAGTATAGCTAATAAGCACATCACATAGCACGTAATATATTTTCTAAATACCTACTTATCATAGAAAAAAAGTATAATAAAAATTGGCTCTAAAATCCTTAATTTTGATTTTACTAAGCCGTAATAAGCCGTAAAAGAAAATAATATTGACGATTTTATGCTTTTTTTTCAAGTAGCTAGTTTAGAGTTTTATTTAAAGTAAAAACAGTCGAATAACATTTTGTATCCTATCTATGCTGTAGGTTGTAAGTATTACGAGTATATGAACACTAAGTATACGTTATACCTTTGGCTTAAAATGTACACAATGAAACGTCTAGAATTCGAATGTTAAATTACAATTCCCGGAGGAAGTTTTCATTGTCTTCAAACTTCGGATTAGGTTTGAACTACACACGATTTAATTACACTGAATACAGATGGTCGGATCACAATTTTACCAACTGATGGTTAGGTGCCAAATTATACTGAAATTAGATAAGTTTGAATTGTATAAGTTACTTTAAATAATAACTTTGAAGGCTTTAGTGATAATATAGGTAGGTACTAGTTAAACCTAATTTCTGTTTTCTATGTTTCATACATACACATTTTATTTTATTAGATCGAGTAGACATATGACTAAACTTTTTCAATTTTGAGCTTTCATAACTTTTGGCCTGATTAATAATGTTTAACAACTGAAATAGGAATGATATGAGAGATAAAAGGACGTTCTTATTGTTATATTATACAAAGTAATATCCATAATAATATTATAAATGCAAAAGTAGCTCTGTCTGTTATCTTTTTACGCTAAATCCGTTGAACGAATTTAGATGAAATTTTTATCGAGACAGTTTGACCATGGGAACGACATAGGATAGATATATAGATTTTATCCCGGAAATCATCTCGGGGATATAGACAAATCCCTATGGCCCTAGTATTTTAGTCTATTTTTTTCCTTTTCACGCAAAGTTTAACTAGATTTTGTGTAGTGATAACTTATTACTCGGGTGAACATTTAAGATACTGTTTTACAGGCCAATATCGAAAAAAATATATAACACAATCGAAATATACATATTATAACATTCACAATTACTATTTTTATCTATGTTAAACGTAGGTTCCTAAGGGACACATCCGAGGAAAGCGAGGGTAATAATGGAGTCACAATAAATATTTGAGATCATACAAAACAAGTCATAATGAAGTACAAACTCGTACATTTATTGTACTGAATAACAAAATTATAATTTGAATAGACCAGAGTGTGTTATTAAACGCGGATTTTAAATTCACGGTTTCATACAAATCTACCTGCTAAGTATTACCTATAACCTAATAATCTGCAGTCAAAAAATATATATATAATATAAATTATACGTTATTATAGATGTTCGTTGATTAGACAATATATATAGTACGATATTATAGCCTCTATCGTCGCTATACACGATTTGATCTTGTATCTATCAATTTGCAACTGTCGTTAATTAATTTATTATTTGTACTAGCAGAACCCGCGGCGTCGCTCGCGCTAAAACTACAAAAAAAAACTAAAAAGATAGGTTCCATACAAACATTTATTACCTATTTTACCCCCTTTTATGATGAATTTCGAGAAATGCTAAATTACGTACTAAATAGTTTTAATTGAATTGAAGAGCAATAATAATAAGTTTCAAGTAATTCTGATCATAAATCATTTTTTGGGTTTCACTCTAACGTGTTTTCCCGTGAGAATGATATAATCTCCCGCGATAAAAAGTAGCCTATGTCACTCTACAGCCCTCAAACTATCTTCACACAAAAAATCACTCCACTCCGTCATTCCGTTTCGATGTGAAAGAAAGACAAACAAATAAACAAACAAACAAAGAAACACATTTTCACCTTTATGATATTAAGTATGGATTATATACCTAACTAGTTAATGAATTCTTAACATATTATAGACAATAAATAACGCCATTCTTTGTCTTAATCAGGAAATAATTATTTTAACGCTTGACGCTTGGATAACATATCGATGGTATGCTGATATGCTGGGTTCGAAGCGGCAACCACCGACGTAGTAGGTAATGACATTTAATAATATAACTTGAAACTTCATATCATGCTAGTATCTATACGAATAATACGAGTATATACTTAATTTTAGTATTAAATAAAAGCTATATTCACTTACGTCAATATTTTCCCTTCGTACTCTAAAAACCGAAGTAATGGATCATCATGAGATTTGGTTCTTTTTGGAGGCTTTATTGATTTCCATCGCTCTTTCTGAGTAAATGGATCTTCTGGTAATTCTTCTTCTTTAGACAATTCTATGCCTTGTGATTCTAACCACTCCTGAAGAAAATGAAATTCGATATAAAATGATTATAATAATTACTCCTTTTGCTGAAATATATGTATCTAGAATAGAAATAAATCTCACATATTTCAAAATATGATTTACTTATTTATTATTTTTATTTATTGCAGTAAGGCAGTAGTAGCCGAGCCGAGAGCACCTCTGATATTTTCATGTGCGAATCATTTCTATCATGATTACCACTTGCTAAGTTTTCGAAAGACATGTGAAGTCCGCCAACCCTTACTCGGCCAGCGTGGTGGACTATGGCCTGATGCCCCTCATATTGAAGAGAGGCCCGTGCCCAGCAGTGGAACGTTAAAAAGGGCTGAATACATACATACATTTATTGCACATATGTACAATAAAAGACAATAAGTACAGATGCTGTCTGAAGAAACTACTTAAGGTATGCAAAGGCGGTCTTATTGCTTAAAGCAATCTCTATCATACAACCTTTGGTGACAGGATTTAATAAGACGGAAACGGGAAGGTGCTATAAGTAAAGAATAAAAAAAAACATGTCAAATAATGTATAAATTGCTAGTATTAGTATAAATGAATAAATCTTTTAGATATATTACTTTAATGTTGCTGATAAAAATATATCCATTTCCAGAGCTAAAAATATATCCCTCTATTATAATTAAGCAATAAACGCAGTCAGTTGGAAAGTGCAGTGTATTATAAAAAATATATTATAAAAATAAAAAACCTGACTGCATAAAAGCTAACTAAAAAGATCAAAAGAAGTTCACGATGGAATAAAGTATTATGTAGTCGGAGACATACATAGCATAAGACCGAAAGAATCTATATGAGCCTATAGTTGCGTACCTATGGCTTTCTCGTCTTGACTCTTGTATATTGGAACAACTATACTTGTTTCCAAAAAGCTGGAAAAGTATCCGAACTTAGCGAGGCTTTAAAGATAAGATATAAAGGCAAAATCAGGCATGTTGCGCTGTTTTTTATGAATGCCGGTGGTATATTGTTCGGTCCCGCACCTTTTGCTATATCGAGACCTTTCAGCTTTTTGAAGATATCATTCTGATTTATTTCTATACCTGCAAGATTTTCACTAATGCCTAAATAGGGGATCTTTTATAAATAAGATGAAGAATCTAAATTACAGGAACTATTTCAATCATCGTATACCGAAACAAACAACAAGAGAAAATATTCAAAATTTCAACTCCACTAGTTGAGGTTTTAACTCCGATACTCATAGCAGCTGGATACGAGTTAGAATTATTACATTAACTCTTTAGGAAGATCCAAAATGGTTTTGAATTTTTCTGAATTTGCTTTTCCAGGTCTTCATTATAATTTTTGCAGGCATCACGCGTAATTTTATCACAACAATCACTAAGCACTCTTATTGTTAGCTCTATTTCATCCATTGGATTGTTATATTTTTTTAATAGCTTTAGCATTTTGTGTTTTTCTCTAATTCTTCTTGCAACTTTATGATTCATCCATGAAGGGTACCTACTATTCATACATACAAACATAGACTGATAAACACATTACCCTCCTTTGCGTCGCGCAGTCGGATAAAAAAATACAAGCGATTAAACAATATCATTGTCATTATCATAATGATAAAGTAATAATAATTATAGCGATAATTAAATAATAATAATTATTATTATCATTCAGTGAGGAATACATAGGTATTATACAGAGTACAACATAATATTATTTTACAATTTATATAAGATATACATAAACGTATACAGAATTAGAAAAAAATTGACAACGTCAAAATAAAATTTATTGTGTAATCAAAATTTATTTTAAAATATACCTATCCATATAGCATTAAAAATTTAAGTAATAGTATAAAAAATGTTTTAAAAGACAAAAAAATCGAAAGTACATATTACAAGACTTCCGCGATACCATTCAAACAAAGAGAGACAATAGCATTCCCAAGGAGGGTTGACGTCAGGCAGGCGGCCGGTCGTAAAACTTTTGCCAAATCCTTTCAGCAGTACAGAAGATGTACTGCGCCGACCCCAAGGGATTGGGAAATGGGCAGGGAGAAGAAGACAACATAATATTATCATTGTTATTCTACATTGTTAATATATTATCTACTTTATTGTTTTTTAATTATCTTATCGTACTACTATTATAAAGCGAAAGTTTCTATTTATTTTGTGATTTCTGTACGTTTGTTGCTCCTTAATGCCGATATGGCTAGACGGATTTCGTTGACACATCTGGTGTAACATATTGCAGTATTAGGGTAGGCTACTTTTAGTCATAAAATTTGTTTAAGTGAAAAATGGTGGCTCTCTCTGTACACATCTACTATTATGTATGTGATGGGTTGCATGTGTGTATGTTTGTTACTTTTTCACGTTGAAATAGCTGAAAGGATTTAGATGATATTTAGAACTCGAAGTATAACTTGAAGAATCACGTATACTACTGTTAGGCAACTAGGAACGCACCCGAGATAAGCCAGGGTAAATCTCTAGTAATATTATAAATACCTACAATAGGCACGAAAAGTAAAGAAAAGTCGCCAGCTTTGATAAAAATTTAATTAAAGTCATAGCGATGTTTAATGCATATTTAATTTGAGTTTGAGTGTGTTTGTTCGTTCGTTCGTTCGTTAGTCCGTCCGTCTGTCTGCCTGTCTATTTTTTCTGCTTCTTTCACGTCGAAACAGAGTGACGGTTTTGAATGATTTTATTGAGATTGTTAGAGGTTGCTTTGTGTGGAGATAGTTAGAGGGCTGAAGAGTGACATACTACTACGCTACTTTTTACGGCGGGAGGTTATCTCATTCCCATGGGAAATCACATACAACCCATAACAACTCATCATATCTATCTATAATATATAGTTTCTATGTATAATAATCCATCAATTCCATACTAACCGTTAAAACGTACCTAGGGACGATATCGAGCGAAACGAGGGAGAGTAGCTAGTAATAATATTATTAGACCTTTAAAATTTATCAAAAGTTTAAAAGAACGTACCTAGTTACGAAATATTATGTCAAACAGAATATACGAGATACAATTGAAAGGTAGGATATTAAAGCAAAATGTACAAAAAATATCCGTTTTACAGTTATGGATACGAAAGAATGCTGTTCAGTCGAAAACAATTTCATCCACGTTGGTGTTCATGTTTGAATTTTCATTTCGGGTGGATATGTTTTGTAGATCGTTTAATTTTACTACTGAAGTAAAAATAAATGTTATCTATATTTGTTACTTATTTTATGTCATATTAGGATTTTAGGACGTTATAATATAATTTTATTGACGACTTAAAATATTTTCGTTAAATGTTTACTTCTTTCTATCTGTCTTTACAATGTACTAAACGTCAGTAAAGTTGGCTTCAGTTTTCTGCTCCACATTACACGAGATATTACTTAGAATTTTCAAAAAAACTGAAAAATTGTATACCTTTATACGTTTAAAGTATAAAATACTGTAATGAGTTTTCATTATTTTTCTATCGATAAACAAACATAGGTCACAACAGCTTATTTGCATAATATGGCTAAGGCCTCCGTGGCGCAATCGGCTAGCGCGTTCGGCTGTTAACCGAAAGGTTGGTGGTTCGAGCCCACCCGGGGGCGCGACATTTTTATTTCTTAAAGTGTTTCCTCAAAACCATTATCAAGTAATTTATTAAAACTACGTTTTAGATTATACACCTCATGACGCGATCGTTAATCTGTCGGAAATTACTCTTTTTTCATTTTCCAGTTATTGCACGTGAGTTAGCTTATTTATAAAAATAAAATTAATTTATAAAAATAAAAGTAATTTTTAATAAAAATAAAATTACAGCAACTTTTACCAGTTGATGAAATTATATTTTTAAAAATTGATTCGACTTGCTCATTAATTAAAATTAATTTATTATTATTAATACGTTACATTTTAATATCTATACGTTAGTCCGTTCGTTAACCACATCCGTTTTCAACTCCATGTTATTGCGATCTAGGTCACTATAAGAGTAATGTTTAGAAGACTTGAGAGTATATTTACACGATGCCATTCAACGGAGCAATCCGAAGGCAATCTACGCCGACACAACTCAAATAATAGAATTACCTTAGTAACCATCATCGAATGGAATTGGTTTGAACATTTACACCACAATCCACAAGTTTCTGTCTATGTATTCATCCTAAACATAGAAGACAGAAAGCTTCTATAAAGTAGATACTGTTAGAGAGTGATTAATTAATTAGGTACATTAATATAAAAAATAAATTAATACTAAAAAAACATCTTTAAATACAAGCTTTTGTTGAAATGCTCTAAAAAGAAGAAAATAAAAATGAAAATTACATCAAACCCATCAATTTAATACATTTTAAATATAAGGTATATTCTTGTTTACCTACATAGGTAAATCTTATGACCAGCTTTTATATAAATATAAATTGTGTAATGTGATAAATGGGTTTGGTTAAAAATGTATTTTCTTCTTTTTAGAAAAAAAGCTCTCTTCTTTTTAAATAAAAGCTTGTTTTTAAAAATGTTTTAACTATTAATTTATTTTATTCGTATTCTTTTCAACAAATTTCACTTGATATACACTTTCATTTGATATCCATGTCATTTGGGTGTAAAAAACATAGTCCGCCATCTTTGAGAGTCCGCCATATTGTATTTAGAATGATGTTTAGTTAAATTTAACTTGCAAGATTTGATTACAGACAAACAGACACCGAGACAGGTGAAATTAAATTAACTAAAAAAATAAACTAAATAGTTTGTAATGATAAATCGGCATTTTGCGACGTCCGCCATATTGGATTAACAATGACGTCACTTTACTCATCGTATTTCGCTTATCAAGCCATTTCATTTGATACCCATATCATATGGTTTAATGTAGAAATTATAAATCGATTTTGTGGTGGCCGCCATATTGGATTTACAATGATGTTATGTTGATTAATGTATTTCGCTCATCAAGCCCTTTCAATATGATGCCCATATCGTAAGGGTCACTATGAAAATAATAAATTGCCGTTTTGTAACTTCCGCCATATTGGATTAAAAATAGCAGCATTTAAGTAATCGTGCATTGTATTGGAAACCAAATTAGTGTGCCAAATTTCAGCTCAATCGAACACTGGGAAGTGGGTCAAATTTTACTTACACTATTTCATTACACAGGACAGGTGAAACTAAATAAAATTTGTGATAAATATTAATGTTTATGAGTATGTAATTTCGACTATAAAATTAAACTTTATGCAGTCTAAATGAATAAATTCCCTCGTAAGTAAAAAAAAATCGTGTTCGGCTTGTTAAAATAATGCAAATATACACCTCCTGGCTATGCAGTATGCAACCATGCCATGCCAGGCATGATCCATCATCAAATCTGTTCGATAATACAAAAATATTATATTATACCCCGTAAACAAGGTACTTCATCTGTTGTTTTTCTTTTGATTTTAACGTCATTTAAAAGGTACCTACCTTGTGTCACTTTCCCACTAATTGAAGAGTATTTCTACAAAACTATATCTATCTGTTGCTGTTGCAGGAAAGTTAAAAAAAATATCTTTTAACAATCAGTTTCAGTTGAAAAACAACTGGTGAAGACAATGTGAACAGCGAAAATATATGATTTTATAAGTATTGCGGAACTGTTCTATTAATCACTTAGTGCAGTTTATCAAAGAGCTCAGGGAAAGTGAATCTAGAACACTTCCAAGTTCCAGGACATTCTGTAGAGACGAATATAACACATAATTAACTCTTCTTAGCAGACATAATTGTTTACTACCTAACTGTTGAATTGAATATTTTAATTAGTTTTAGTCACATTAATATTGTAAATGCGAAAATTTGCGTTCTAGTGTTTTGTTGATAATATAATAATTAATAAGCTTTAAACCTTGTTAAAAAAGGAATTGAGATATGTAATTTGTATTCTGAATTAACGTATAGGGTACTTTTATCAACGTGCCTACCGCACCAACGGATCCGCGAACAAAAACTAGTTATTCTTAAATGCATTTAATACTTGTAGAATACTAGCAGAACCCGCGGCTTCGCTCGCGCTAAAACTACAAAGAAATTGTAAAATGGTAGGTTTCATAAAATCTTTAAGCCCCTATGATCTCATGCGGTAAAAAGTAGTATGTCACTCTCCAGCCCTCTAACTCCCTCGACACAAAAAAATCACACCAATCCGTCATTCTATTTCGACGTGAAAGAAGGGCAAGCAAACAAACAAACACACATTCACATTTATAATATTAGTATGGATATGGAAGTATGGACTTACAACGTGATTTATAAAATTAAAATGTATGCAAGGTGGAAGTTAAAAGTATGCAGTGACAACATTGTTTAATCTGAGTAACAATATCACAGAAACTAGGAATGCAATA